AGTAAAAGAGGTTTTGAAAGTCTACTTTAATCAAGAACAGGAAATTAATGTTCCAGACCCCAAGAAACAATGAAAAATATAAATCCTACAAAACTTCAAAAAGGATTTGGGTTAGGAACATCTATGATTTGAAGTTGCTTAATAATTATCAAATCACTAAGAAACAGACCAGAGATGAGTACCATATACCATGAATAATACTAAGACATTTTTGCTAAAAATACTCTCTCTTCTCCCCCCAAAAATCACATTAGTTCACTTATGGGTAAATGATGTTCAATCAAGAGCTTGGGTTTATGTAGGTTCAGTTTTTGGAGAAACTTCGACAGCGAGCACTATATTTGGATTATATTTACGCTAAACATCTATTATCGAATGCTGAATTGTTCATTCTTTTTTTTTTTAAAGGGGTGCAAGCTGTGTCAGTGTCCTTGGCTTGAGGAGTAATTTAAATAAGCCCTTTGGTTTATGTTGCGTGTAAGAAAGGCTTTATAAAATCTAATCTTTTCTAAACCTGTTGTGTTCTTCGGCTCAGCAGAGCTTCCTAATTGTAGCTATTAGTTCCCCTTTTTTGTGGTCTGTTCCGTCAATAGACTATTGAGTCTTCAGTAAATTAAGCCCGCCCGGCAGCCAACACATCGAGACAGACGTTAAATCATAGCTGGGCGGCCCTTGTTCATTATTGGTATCTGTGAAGCAGCTTTCAAGCATAGGGACAAGATTTAGCACGATGCACATTTGTGTCATTCTCAAATTTCCATACTGTACAATCAGGTATGTGAGGGGCTTTTTTTTTTCAAGGCAACAGGTGTGTTCTTAGAACAAAGTTCAACCCCCATTTCTGGCTCATATGAGAGCAGCAGCTGCAAGCTTAATACCAATGACACATGGTTCTATAAGAGAGAAAAAATAAACTACTTGTTCAAAGTATTAAAGTAATGGGCAGATGGTCTGTAGCTGCCTGTTCTTTTCTTTGTGTTGTAGAACCAGGGTCTAAACTTTCAGAAGACAAGTGTTTCTCCCTCCCTGTCTCCTTCTTCCCTGATTTCCTTCCTTCCTCCTTTCTGCATTATCTCCTCCCTCCCTTTCTTCTTTTCCCTTCTTTATTCCATTTCTTTAAAACTAGTGAAAATATAAGCTTCTGTAACTAGTACATACTCCTAATTGAGAATATTCTTTCCTTTGAATGGAGAGAAAAAAAAAACTTCATGTAAATAAAGCTACACTTGATTACTCAATTTGAAAAAGAATATAAAGTGCTATAATTTGAAGACTTAGAATGCAAATCCTACATTTTTTAAAATGCAAAGTTAAGTGCCTGAAGGCCTCAGTGGTCTCCGCTAAGAAGTTTCTATTTCTGTTCTGTGACGCAGGCTCATAGGAGTTACCACGCACTGTGTACCCAGAAGCATGATGTCAGCTACCATTAGTTCATAGCAACAATGATGTGGGAATCACCGTGCTAGTATTCACCAGAGTAAACATTCAACAATCCTGCAAACACCTTCTTTACCTGGGGACAAGGTTCTTTGGTTAGCTTTCAGGTACTGCCATGCCTCAGAAGACAAGAGGCTCGGCCAACACCGTGGTGCATACACATCTCAGACCAGAGCAACGGTGGAGCTGTGCGTTACGTTTAAAGCCAACATGCCTTAGTACTTAGACTTTTTTGGAACTCAGAGTATGTCAAAACTACCCCTCTTTCAGCAATGGGTACTTCCATAGAAATACTTAATAGAATAAAGAATCTTTGTCTTAGATGTGACAAACAGTTACACTGCAGTGTGGTGAAATAAGTGACAATTTAATGACAAACTTCTGGTATAACTGGTATAATCCAGAACACTGGTGCTTGAGTGTTGCCTATGGTGTCTAACTGGGGGAGGGGTGAGAGGCAAAGAACCCTTTTTTATATTTTTAGAAACTCTTAAATCACAACCTTTTTCAATAATCAGATTTTTTGAATCTATACTGAAGACGATTTTTTCCAGCATTTTCTCAAATCTGAGAAATTTATAGGCAGATGGATTTAGAATTCAATTCTCCAAGAGAAACAAAATCCAATGAAAAAGAAGAACCTGGCAATACATTTCTTTCTAAGTTTTTCAGATTGGTTAGCCTATTACATTTGATTTTTGTTATAGGTAGGCAAATAATGGCCCACCTCACGGATGACAGTAACATTTTAAAAAAATAGGAAAAGTCTAAAACTGGGAGATTGGCTTAGATTACCTTTAAGGGTCTTTTCCCATCCAGAGATTCTCAATTCTATGGTTTTGTTTTCCCTCAACCTATACTTTTTTTCAAATCGTAGTAAGACACACTTAACATAAAACTGTCCACCTTGCCCATTTGTAAGCTTACAGCTCAGCAGCAGTAAGCGTATCCGCCTTGCTGTACAAACAATACCCGAACGAAACATTTTCATCTTGCAAAACTGAAACTCTGTCCCCATTAAACAACAGCTCACTCTCCTTTCCTCTGCCAGCCCTTGGCAGCCCCATTCCACTTCTCCCCTTCACTCTTGACTACCCCATGCACCCAGATGGTATATGTTCACCCATGTTGCAGCATCTAACAGGATCCTCCTCCTTTCCAAGGATGAATCAACTCCCTTGTGCATACGAGCCACATTTATTGTGCTGTTTTTCCAGCTTTTGGCTATTGTAAGTAATGCTGTGGCATGTACAGTATCTCTCTGAGACCCTGCCTTCAGTTGTGGGAGTTATATCAAGAAGTGGACCTGATAGAACATATGGTAATTCCACTGTTAACACTTTGAGGAGCCATCACTCTTTTCCACCATGGCTAAACTATGTTCCATTTCCACCAACAGGGCCCAAGGGTTCTGATTTCTCCATACCCTCGCCAACAATTCCTACTGCTTTCTTGATAGAGGCCTTTTTTTTCCGCTTTGTATCTTTTTATTTTATTTTATTTTTTAACATTTTTTTTTTTTATAGGCAGAGTGGACAGTGAGAGAGAGAGACAGAGAGAGAAAGGTCTTCCTTTGCCGTTGGTTCACCCTCCAATGGCCGCCGCTGCAGCCGGCGCACCGTGCTGATCCGATGGCAGGAGCCAGGATCCAGGTGCTTTTCCTGGTCTCCCATGGGGTGCAGGGCCCAAGCACCTGGGCCATCCTCCACTGCACTCCCTGGCCATAGCAGAGAGCTGGCCTGGAAGAGGGGCAACCGGGACAGAATCCGGCGCCCCGACCGGGACTAGAACCCGGTGTGCCGGCGCCGCAAGGTGGAGGATTAGCCTATTGAGCCACGGCGCCGGCTCATTTTTTAACTTTTATTTAATGAATATAAATTTCCAAAGTACAGCTTATGGATTACAATGGCTTTTCCCCCCCCATAACTTCCCTCCAACCTGCAACCCTCCCCTTTCCCCCTTCCATTCACATCAAGATTCATTTTCAATTCTCTTTATATACATAAGATCAATTTAGTATATATAAAGTAAAGATTTCAACAGTTTGCACCCACACAGAAGCACAAAGTGAAAACTACTGTTTGAGTACTAGTAATAGCATTAAATCACAATGTACAGCACATTAAGGATGGAGATCCTACATGAGGAGTAAGTGCACAGTGACTCCTGTTGTTGACTTAACAAATCGACACTCCTGTTTATGGCGTCAGTAATCTCCCTAGGCACTTGTCATGAGTTGCCAAGGCTATGGAAGCCTTTTGAGTTCACCAACTCTGATCATATTTAGACAAGGCCATGGTCAAAGTGGAAGTTCTTTCTTCCCTTTAGAGAAAGGTACCTCCTTCTTTGATGACCTGTTCTTTCCACTGGGATCTTACTCGCAGAGATCTTTCATTTAGGACATTTTTTTTCCCAGAGTTTCTTGGCTTTCCATGCCTGAAATACTCTCATGGGCTTTTCAGCCAGATCCGAATGCCTTAAGGGCTGATTCTGAGGCCAGAGTGCTGTTTAGGACATCTGCCATTCTATGAGTCTGCTGTGTATCCCGCTTCCCATGTTGGATCATTCTCTCCCTTTTTGATTCTATCGGTTAGTATTTGCAGACACTAGTCTTGTTTATGTGATACCTTTGACTCTTAGTCCTGTCATTATGATGATAGAGGCCATTCTAATGGGTGTGAGGTGACACTCTCAAGCTGCACTTTGAAGAGACGAGAAGCTGGCTGGTGACTGAGTCAGATGAGCCAGAGGATCTTTTTTACAGCATCAATCAAGTGGTGCCCAGTCCTCTGCCTAGTGTTCTGTGTCTTGTTATCACACGTAGAAGAGTGAGTCCCTTACTGTGGCTGAGAAGGCCCTGCTGGGCTCTGGCTCCTTGCTGTCTCTCTCCTTTCTCACCTTCTCCTTGGCCTCCTCTGCAGAGGCCATGCTGAGCGTGGTCCCTCCTCTGGGCTTTCCCCCTCTCTGTTTCCTTCTTGCTCACCTCACTACACAGTTCACTCCCTTCTCCACTCAGATCTTTGCTCACCTGTCACCTCAGCAAATACTGTCCCACATCTCAAACAACAGTTCCGCTCCAGGCATTTTCTGTATCATGACCCTGCTTTCTTACATTTTTGTCACATTTGCTACCTGAACGAATTTATACACAAGGGGGCTTCAAGAAGTTTGTGGAAGATGGGATGAAACAATAAGCTTACTGTGATACAAAAAGTGTTTGAAAACCATGCATCAGTTTTTCATAAGACACATTTTCCATGCTCTTTGTGAAGGCTTTTTGTCTACTGTCTGTTTTCCAGAGTCAGGTGGCAGTCCTGTGAGGGCAGGGCATGGCCTGATATGTTCAACTCTACTCCCAGCTTCAAGGACAGAGCCTGGTGGTGTGCAATCAGTAAGCGTTGCAGGAATGAATGAATGCATGCATACACAAATATTTTGGCTACCACATGCCTAGCTTGTGTAAACAAATTTACAGAAAAAAAGTCATCACACTGTTTGAGTTGTCAGAGGCTGGGCTGCTCATTCCAAACTTTCCCCAGCCAACAGGGGTAGAAAGTACTCACGTGAGTCTCTACATCACCAGCAAGGATCCTACTGTTCTTTAAGAACTCAGCCACCATACCGTTCATCAGCTTATCGAAGGCTTCCACGGAGGGCGCCACACCTTGGAAGAGGGACATTTTGTTATTCTCTGGTGATTTAATGAAAAGCTGGAGCTGACTTGCTACAGGGAATGTGGGAGTTGAGTATCATCAATGCCAGTCTCACTAATTCCTTCACTGAGTCAGTTCTTCACTCAACCTATGTTGAGTAAGCTCTTCTCAATAGCTCAGTCTTCCTATTCTTCATCCTCCTGAGCAAGGACTGTCCACTCAATACTCCCCCAACCCAGGAGGTCAGCAGCACCATCACAGTGCTGCTTCTACAGCCACCTGCGCAGGCACCCAGGACAGTGGAGAGGTAGCAATGGACTTTGGGCTTGGAGGCAAAGCTGATTCTACTCATTGCATGCCTTCTTCACTTTCCAGGGGGAGGAGAGACCACCATGGTGGGAAGGAAAATGCTTGCTGAGCCAACACATGAAGGGAGTTCTCTGCCAGGTGAATACAACAGCTGAAGTGCAGACAGCACAGCCAATGAGCTCTGCATTCCATCCTGGGCTTTTTAATTCACAGACAAAAAAAATCCAGGTCTCTGAGTCCTAATACTGAGAAACAGCACTACAGGCTGTTAACGTCCAAACCAAATCTGAAGATTGTCTTTCTCATAGTGCAAAAATAGAGCCTCCATGCTCTCAAGTCAGCTGGATAAAGCTTTCTTCCTTCCTTCTTATTCTCAACTGGCCATTTCCTCAGGCCCAAGGGGTGAGGGCAAGAGTTGCTGACCGCTCTCTGCTCCTACACTCTCATTTCTAGACAGACTTTGGAGCTGAGTGAGTTAGCTCAAAACACTTCGGGAACATAAAAAGGGCACAGGGCTAGAGATTCTCTGTGAATGCATTTATAATCAGATAAACTGGTCTGTTGCTTTGGGAGAAGCCTGAGAGGTCTCTGCTGAGTAGCTAGAGCAGGAGAAAGTTTCAGAAACGCGATAGAAATGCTTCTACCTACAAGATAAAAGAAAACATTTTCCAATTTCCTTTCATCACGCTGCTCTGCTCACACCTCCTCCGGGCAGTCTTTAGTGGCCTTTCTCCCCAGATTGCATCCTCGGAGTATCCCTTAATCAAAGCATTTGAGGCTCTGGACAGTAACGCATGGAGACCAAAGACTGTGCAGGATTAGGACTGTGTGTGATTCATCTGAGATTTCCTTGCACCTACCACAATGCTTGTCACTTGGAAGGCATACAAAAAGATTTTTCAACAGTTGGGGCTGAGCTTACCTGATTATCAGGGAAAAAATATTCCACATCCTAAAACATATTCACAGTGTCACAATAGGGTCTTTTTTCTATGCACATGATACATTTGTAAAGGATTGTTTTTCCTTCTAAAAGTTTATTTTAAAGTGAAAAAAAAAAGGAATGATAATGTTTATATTTAAGCTGAAATGCTGTTCTTAAGGATTTGTTTAGAAGAGAATTTAGAGAAATACTAAAACTGGCTAAGAAGAAACGGAAATGTTAATGTTTAGAAGTAGTGAAATGTTTAAGTCATTCAGGCATTTTACTAATTATCCTGCTTACTAATTACTCCTTTTCAAATGTGATAACAAATTGCCAGCTAAGTTGTTTTGAGGATCTTTGCTTTGATAACTGGTCTGGAATGGTTTGCTAAGTTAGAGAGACTTACTTAATCACATAAATATTTTAATTATATGTCCTCTAATTTTACTTAGCTGACTAATTTTCCAAGATAGTTTTCCTAGGGAAAAACTTTAATAGAGAAAATACAAGGTATAGTCTGGTACCTCTTTGATAAGCAAGCTCCAAATTATTGAGGAATTTTTTTGTTTTGTTTTTACTCAATAGCACTACACAATCTCCTGGAAGTTGGATTTTAACTTTACTTTGTATGTTCACAGGCTTTCTATGTGTGTGGTCAAAGTTAAAGAACTGTCTTTAATCACTCCAGTGGTATAATAAAGCAAAGTTACTGAAGAGAACAGGAAAATATTTTCTTCAATAAGAGTTACTGAATCTCATAGGCCAACTGGAGGTTAAAAAACAAGAGGTTTAAAATGAAATCATAGATGGGTCTCACTTGGTGCCGACAAAACCTACAGGCCCCTGGCAGCCTGTCTTTGAACTTCACCTCTTTCCATTCATTCTAGTCAGGGGAGCACCAGCCAGCACGTTTGTGCTCACACAGTAGTTTCTGTCCGGTGGCATGCAGCACAAGGCACAGCTCCAGCTACGCCTGAAATTCTAGCAACTCCACCGAAGTCTTTCCTGGGAAAGCTTTTTTTTTAAGCCTCCTCTTCCCCAAGGCTTTTCTCAGCTCTCCAAAGCCTGACACGCCTCAAAATGGGTCAGGTGTGACAAGAACAGAGTTTCCATATTAAATATGGATTGCCTGGTTACATCTGAATTTCAGATAAGCAACAAAAACACTTTTAGGTAAGTATGTACCATGGACTACAATCCATGCACTATTTGGGACCCACTTATAAAAAAAAATTCTGTTCTCCATCTGAAATTCAAATTAATTGGGTATCCTGTACTTTTATTTGTTAAACTGCAACTTTAGACAAGAAAGAGTTGGGAAAATTTTTGTAGATAATTTGGAGAGTTTGCCACAGATGGTGCCCTTTGAAGGAAGTTGTCAACTTTCTATGTTTAATCATAGATTTTTTTAAAAAGTCTTTTTCTGAAGCATGATATCAACTGCCAGCTTTTAAGAGTGTACTTGGTTAGGAATAGGCAAAGGTGAAACCACTGGATGTGGCAATGTCACACCAAAGTCACGTCTGGCTTCACATCAGACTAACTCCCTTCAAAGCTGCAGTTCCTAAACATAATAGCATATTTCCTTTAGCAGTAAAGCCTTCCGAGTGATAATTCTTTCTCATTTACATTCTAATCCAAAACATTCTATTCTCTTTTGGTAATTACTTGGATGGTCTAGCCAGCAGTTGAGTGTGGAGCAGCAGTACAAACACTACAATGAAAGAATGATGACATCTGGCACAGGGATTAGGCTCTTAGCAGGCACAGATGTTGGTAATTCTTGCAGATTGTGGGTTGAACCTTTCTTTCCTTTCTCTTTTCAGGGATTGCTTGGCTCTGGTTAACGTTATGGTCACATATAAAGGAAGGAGTAGGAGCGCTGAGGAAAGCAGGTGGAAATGCGTCTGGGGAGCTAAATGATGGGAGCGAAATGAAGTGACCCCCTTGGAGACCTGTGGTGACGAGCTTGTGGCCCTACCTCCGTTGACACCGTTGACTTCCCCACAGTCCCCAGGAGGTCTGTGTGACTCTGCAGAGAGCTGCTCCAGCCGGCTGACCGCATGCTCCAGCCTCTCCATCAGGCCCTGCATGTCTCCCATTCTGGAACAACAGGCACACAGAGGCTGCATGAGCAAGGGCAGAGGAGCAAACTGACAGCATCAAACTCAACAGCGGTGACGGGGAAACAGGAAATCACTCAGAATGGCTGTGATTGCCCACAACAACAGGAAAGTGTGTGAAACTCTGAAGGATATAGAGTTTGAAAAAAAACAACAAAAAACGGCAAATGATGTTAAGCTTAATTTTTGTTGAATGATTTTTACAAGCCCAATAAATAAGACACAAACATCGACTCCCTCTATACTACTCTCAGGTGCTGGCATGGAGGCATCCTGGTAAAGAATACCATCTACGAAGGTAATTCAAGGAGCTTATGGAAAAATGGAATTAAAAGATTATTTTGGGGCCGGCGCCGTGGCTCAATAGGCTAATCCTCCGCCTAGCAGCGCTGGCACACCGGGTTCTAGTCCCGGTCGGGGCGCCGGATTCTGTCCCGGTTGCTCCTCTTCCAGGCCAGCTCTCTGCTGTGGCCAGGGAGTGCAGTGGAGGATGGCCCAAGTGCTTGGGCCCTGCACCCCATGGGAGACCAGGAGAAGCACCTGGCTCCTGCCTTCGGATTAGCGCGGTGCACCGGCCGCAGCGCGCCAGCTGTGGCGGCCATTGGAGGGTGAACCAACGGCAAAAGGAAGACCTTTCTCTCTGTCTCTCTCACTATCCACTCTGCCTGTCAAAAAAAAAAAAAAAAAAAAAAGATTTTGGGAGCCAGTGTTGTGGTACAGCAGGTTAAAACCCCAGCCTGCAGCACTGGCATCCCATATGGGTGTCAATTCAAGTTCCAGCTGCTCCTCTTCTGATCCAGCTTCCAGATAATGTGCCTGGGAAAGAAGTAGAAGATGGCCCAAGTGCTTGGGCCCCTGCACCCTCGTGGGAGACCCAGAAGAGGCTCCTGGCTCCAGGCTTCAAGACCTGCCCAGCTCCAGCTGTTCTGGCCAATTGGGGAATGAGCCAGCAGATGAAGACTTCTCTCTCCATCTCTTGCCCTCTCTCTGTAACTGCCTTTTAAAATAAGATTATTTTGGTGCAAAAACTCTTTGAAATCATTGCATAGCCTTTCCCATAATTTGCGTTTTTCAGGAATTTTTTGATGACTTTTTGTAGCATAATTCGTATCTTTTCGCACCAAAATATATTTTAATTTCATTTCCATGAATTTTTTAAAGTACCCTTTGTGTATAGCACTTAAAATGCAAACTAGGGGGGCTGATGCTTTGGTGTAGCTGCTGCCTGCAGTGCCAGCATCCCGGTTCAAGTCCCGGCTGCTCCACTTCCGATCCAGCTCTCGGCTATGGCCTGGGAAAGCAGTGGAAGATGGCCCAAGTGCTTGGGTCCCCGCACCCACGTGGAAGACCCGAACAAAACTCCTGGCTCCTGGCTTTGGGTTGGCTCAGCTCCGGCTTTTGCACCCATTTAGGGAGTGAACCAGCGGATGGAAGATTTCTCTCTCTCTCTCTGCCTCTGCCTCTCTGTAACTCTGCTGATCAAATAAAATAAATACATAAATCTTTTTTAAAAAATGCAAACTTATATCTCAAAAGTAATACTGCTAATTCTTCTTTACTAAACTTTATTTATTTTCATCTACTTGAAAGAGAGATGGAGAGAAAGAGACAGAACGAGAGAGAGGTATCTTGCATCTGCTGGTTCACTCACCCAATACCCACAACAACTGGGGCTGGGACAGGCTGAAGTCAGGAACTTCCAGGTCTCCCACATGGGGGCAGCGACTCAAGTCCTACGCTAGCAGGAAGCTAGACGGGAAGTAGAGTAGCTGAGACTCACACAGAGACTCTGAAATGGGCTGTGGTATCCCAAGTGGTAAATGAAACTGCTGTGCCACAATGCCAGCCCCGATACTGGCAATTCTTAGTCTGCTATATGGTGGGAGCATATTCTAATCTTCCCAATAACTGCTCTGTTAAAGTATAATTCTCTAGGGGACTCGAAACCCAAAGATGAAACCAACGGGTCCAGCACAGGAGAACAGAGTTTAGGAAACTGAGCATCAATTAGAAGGCAAGGAGAGGTCGTGACCTCCAGGGGCTGACTGTTTTCCACTCCTTAGTGATTTGTTTCTGTTGCTGAATTATTCCAAATTATAAGTATGCCAAATTATAAGAAGAATAGGAATTTTGATTTAAAATATGCAAAATGTTATTTTCTTTTTTGTAAGGCTGCTGGATATTTTTAGACAAAATTTAGTGAGATTTGGTGATGTAATCTCAGTAACCCGTTGGTTGGAATAAACAAGGATGGAAACTGACTCAGGGACTGAGCATGGAAGTGGAGTTTGGTATCCACTTTGCCTGCTTCCAAACAGATGCTTAACCAGGTGTGTGTAGGGTGCACACCTTCAACTACCTGGCCCTAGAATTCCCATTTGTGTCAAGATGGAGAAATCAGAGAGACTACTTAATGGAGCTCATTTCCTGCTCTGAAAACCACCAAGACAAAAGAGCCAGGAGTACAAACTCTTCATGATTTTACAGATACCAATGATAATTTTTGTTTGTGTGGTCTGTTCAGTTTGGGGGGAGGCATGGAGTAGTTTAATGCAAATGTTTACAAGAGGGTTGCCCAACCAAAAAATAAAATAAAATAAAAAGAATTTGCATGTGTGTTCCTCTGAGGAATGGCATCCAATCTAATTTATCTCACAGGACCCAGCTCCTGGTCCTGCATTCTGACCACATCAGCTTCTGACTACTTTGGGCAAAGCCACACTGCTACTGCAGAGAACAGAAGGGGGCTCATGCGAGTTGGCGCCTGTGGTTCTTCCCAACTCTTTAGAACTTTCCAGGGCTGGGCATTTGGATGCCTACACACCGAATCCATGTGCTTGGCTGCCCAGCTCCCAAGCCAGCTTCCTGCTAGTGCAAATCCTGCGAGGTAGCAGGTGAGTAGCTAGGTTCCTGCCACCTGTGTGGAAAATCCGGATGGAGTTTTGGGCTCCTGGCCCTCGCACAGCCCTGGTTGTTGTGAGCATTTGGTGAGTGAACTAGTGGATGGAGAGCTCTGTCTCTCTGCCTTTCAAATACATAAAGAATTTTTTTTTATTTTTAAAAAATGTATATAGTTGAAAGGCAAAGTCTTACACAGAGAGAGAGAGACAGCAAAAATCTTCCATCTGCTGGTTCACTCCCCAGTTGGCCACAGTGGCCAAGGTTAGACCAAGTCAAAGCCAGGAGCCCAGAGTTTCATCAGGTCTCCGACCTGGTGCAGGGGCTCAAGTACTTGAACACTCCTTTGCTGCCTTCTCAGGCACATTAGCAAGGCGCTGGATCAGAATCAGAGCAGCCAGAACTTGAGCTGGTGCTCCAGTATGGGAGGCCAGCGTTGCAAGCAGCGGCTTACCCTGCGGTGCCACAACGCAGACCCCAGCTTTCTTCTCTAAACAAAGGACTTCCATTCTCAGCAACAGAGGAGCAGGTGCATGCTCCCGGAATACAGACGGGGCTGTCCTCAGCATGGGTAAATTCCACTGTTCTGATAGTTTGCATTTCTGCTGGCAACTAGGTATCGAGTGTCTCTTTTGTGTTTTGTAGACCATTCACTGTGAGATCAGCACAATGACCAAGGGCCACTAGCATTTTAAAAAGCAAGGTGATCCTTCTCAGAAGTCCCGAATAGCTGCCTGATGCTGAGTCCAGGAGTCAGCTGGTCACCAGACGGCGGGCGGGGCTGCTGGCCCCTCTGGAAAGTCACCTCTCCAGAAACTGCCAGCGGCTACTCTCTCAAAATATAGAGCAGCGTGCTCTGCACGGCTCACATCAGCATCTAATCCTAAGGGGATTCAAAATTAGAAGTCTCTCATCTATTCTTTCCCTCCTCGCGTCACAGCATTTGCTTCCATTGAAATAGAAGGGGGAAAAAAAAGGAAGAAGGAATCTAATGGACTCCTTTACGCAATCTCCCTGCAAGGGACATGGGTGTCCTGGGGGTGAGGGAAGGCCATCTGAGAAATGATAAAAGCCCCTCGGATCTTTTAATAGTCGCCCAGCTGTTCGCGGTTGTCCACGGCCCCTGCCACTCAATTCGCCAAATGTTACCGTGGTGGCCCTCGTCCAGGCTAGGAGCAAAAATGTGTTTGCTTGGTAGCCAGCTCCCGTGCCCCGCGCCTTGGAAAGGCTCCCACCAGCCTTGGCAGCTCGCAGGCCAGGATGCTGGGGGAGGTTTGTCACATTTCACATCGGCCTCCCCAACAAAGCCCCCACACACCCCCGCACCGAGGGCTCTGGATACTTAAAGACAGGAGCGGGGCTGGGTGGACCAGGAGGGAAGGCAGTCTGAGCGTCTCCCCATGTCACTTCCTGTAAAATCAGTATGAGCAAGGCTTGAGTCTCACCGTGGCCTTTCAAGAGGTCAACGTATAGCTCTTGCGAGGAAGCTAAAGGATGCCTCTGGGTTTTTCACATTTTAGAACAGTTTCTAAGAGAAATTCAAGCCAAAGTAAAGGCTATATGCCAGGATACACATTAGCACTCCCAGGAGGAGGGTGGGGTCCAAGATGGCCATGCCCTCCCCCAGAAACAAATTCTCTCTGTCTCGTACTTTCTCTTTCTGTGTCTATCTGCCCTCTTTCTCCTCTCTCTCCCTCTCCTCCGACACATGCCCTCAGCTGCTATCCTGGCTCTTAAGAGCAAGGAAAGACCAGAGCTGCAGATTCCCCAAATTCTTTTCAGGCGGTGCCATTCCCCTTGCCTTTCAGAGTGGATCTGGCCAAGTTTTAATGGGAGCAGGGAAGGAAGACCCAGGTGGAGGAAATGCACAGGGCAGTCAAGGCGAACACAGACACCAAGCTGAGGGTGAAGAATGAGTCGGGGCCAGGCACACAGATCCACGAGTTCTGCTCAGGATACCAGGAGAGAGAGGATATGGTGCTGTGGCTGGAATAAGATATTCTAAGAATTAGATAAGGAGCAAAGAGAAGCCAGATACATAGCTGGAGAATCTAGGGACTGGGTTGGATGGTGCAGCTCCAA